GGTTTGAACCCACCACCCTCAGTATATGGTGCCAGTGCCCTACCCACTCAGCCACAGGCGCTGCCCTATCAGTTTTAAGTCACCTTCTGCAACAATTCCAGCGTCATCACTTACAGACTATGCAAATTTGGGCAACTTGCTCACCTTTTCTGTGACTTAGTTCCCTCATCCACAACATGGGGATGTTAATTATATTTACTTCATAGGATTGTATCTTAGTCCATTTTGTGCTGCTATAACAGAATGCCTGGGACTGAGTAATTTATAACACAGAGAAATTTATTTCTCACAGTTCTGGAGGCTGGGAAGTCTGCGATGAAAGCACTGGCCTAATTTCCTGTAGTATGGACGTAGCCATACTTTATTCAAATGTTCCCCATAAATACATAATCAGGTTAGGTCTCATTTTTGCCAGTGAAAACAATTGTGTAGTATGTATTCTTGCTCCTCTATCCTAATGCTTTTAGTCTTAGAACACATTCTCCCAAATTGGAGAACAAGATCAAAGATTTATGTGTTTTTAACATTTTAACAGATTGGTTGGGCAGGGTGGCTCATGCCTATAATCCCAGCACTCTAGGAGGCCGAGGTGGCTGCATTGCTTGAGCTCAGGAGTTTGAGACCAGGCTGAGCAAGAGCGAGACCCTGTCTCTACTCAAATTAGAAAAACTAGCTGGGCATCATGGCAGGTGCCTATAGTCCTAGCTACTCGGGAAGCTGAGGCAAGGGGATTGCTTGAGCCCAAGAGTTTGAGGTTGCTGTGAGCTATGGTGCCACAACACTGTACCCAGGGCAACAGAGTAAAATTCTGTCAATCAAACAATAAATAAGCAAATAAATAAAAAATAAAATAAAATTTTAAGAGATGTAGTCGGATTACTTTCCCCAAAGGTTGAAGCAATTCATATTTCCCCAAGTACTGTGCCTGTTTCCTACAAACTTCATAGTGTTTAGTGTTATTTATCTTGCATTTTTTGCCAGTTTCATGGATAAATATATCTCATTCGGATTTGCTTGACAGGCCAGGCAGAGCATCTTTTCATTTGTTTGTTACCATTTGCACACTCTTGTTCAGACCTGCTTTTCTATTACACCATCTTTTTCTAATTATTTATGGGCATTCTGTATGATTTTAACTCTTTGTGATAGGAGGTGCAGATTTTTTTGGTATTGAATTGTATTTTGACTTTGTTTATGGTGCTTTATGCCAAACCAATTTTTTTTTTAAAACTAATGGGGCCTTCCTGGGCAAACAATTTCCCTCCCGGGTTCCGAAACCCCAAGGTTTTTTTGGTTTTTTTTAGAAAGTATACTCTACCCTGAGGTTGTGCAAATTCTACCTTTGCTTCTCTATTATTTTAACAGTTTCATTAAAAGAAATTAGATCTTTAATCTACCTGGAAATTATTGCTATTATGTGGTATGTTAGTGGGGTAATTCTTTTTGGGCTTGGCGCCCATAGCACAGTGGTTACGGGGCCAGCCACATACACTGAGGCTGGTGGGTTTGAAACTGGC